ATTCGTGAGACAAGATCTCCTCCTCACAAACCCGTGTTGGTTGGCTGATAGCAGATAGTGGCGCGTGACATGGGCCAACATCTTGTCCCTCAGTAGCCTTTCTAATACTTTTAGTGGTACTCAGGTTAGACTAACCGGCCTATAATTTGCAGCCTGGTTTCTATCCCCACCTTTGTGTTTGACGACCACATTTGCCACCTTCCAGTCTCCCGGCAGCCGTCCCTCTTGCAGGGATCTGTTAAACAGCTTTGCTAGTGGTGCAGCAAGCACCTCAGCCAGCGGTTTTTGGATAGCCGGGTGAATATCATCGGGTCCCGCTGCCTTGGTGCTCTTCAGCGCCTGCAGTTGGGCCTTTACCTCATCTTCGATGATGATGCCTTCGGTCATTGCGGGTATTTCCCGTTCTAGGGGTGAGGGGTGGGTGGAGGGTTTCCCTCGTTATCCGGTTGGTGAACCCTTTCGAAGTAGGGGCGGAAAATATCCGCCTTTTCAGCATTTGATTCCGCGTTAACTTCGTCCTCGTTTCGGACGTTCCCGACCGCCGCTCTAATTGTGGCCTTGGATTGGACATAATTAAAGTAGGCTTTGGGGTTGAAATTTGTGTTACTCGCCAGCTTTCTTTCATATGCTACCCTGCATGCCCGCTGGACCGCTATTGCGCGCTTTCGCATTCGGTCGTATTCTAGGAACCGGCGGTGGCTGCCTGAGGCTATCAGTCTTCCCCACGCTCGTTGTTTATGAACCTGAGACTTCTGCACTAAAGGCCTTCCACCACGGTGGCTTGCCGTTTCTCCTAATGCTCCTCAGCGGAGCATGAGTATGCGCGAGCTGCAGTACGTTGGACTTAACTAGATTCCAACTCTCGTCTAATGAATCACTGGGATCCAACTCTCATGACATGGAATTTGCATCTCGTAGGAGCTGCGCTATGTTCATTCCCCCATAATTTCGCCTTCTCTTCTCGGGGGCGGTTGACCCTCGGATGGACATGGTGAGATGAAGTAGGGCATGGTCACTTTTACCCAGTGGGGCCATTACCCGAATACTTTCTATATCGTTCGCCCCCTTCGTTATTACCAGGCCCAACCTGGTGGGCCTGCTGCCATCTCAACATCGCTTATCCTCTCTTACGTGTTGCACGAGGGCTGCATAGTGCAGCAGGTTCAGTAACGCATGGCCAGAGGAACCCGGTGGGGCACTTTCTTCACCCCAGTTGATCTCTGGGGTGTTGAAATCCCCGAGGACCAGAAGTTTCCCATTGTGGCGAGCTGCCGTACGTAGCGTGAGTAGCAGTGTCTCATCCTCGTTAGCCGTGGATGATAGGCTTCTGTAAACGCTAACTACCATCAGTTTGGTGTGACAGACGCTCACTACACAGCCGGAAACCTGGATGTTAGACGTTGATATCGTGAGATCACCTCTGTGGCTCTGGTGTAGGTGCTGTGCCACTAGTATGAGAGTCCTTACATTTATCCTGCCGTCTATTCTATCGGTGCGATAATCGCAGAAGGCTGGCGGGTATTGGTGCTTGATGTCTAATCCTGGCAGGAGCCAGGTTTCCGTGATCGCCACAACATCGCATTTTCCTGCCTCTACTTTGAGCTCTGACCATTTGTTTCCCACGCTACATGCATTTGTGTATGCAGTGTGCAGTGGGACTCCTCCCCTAGTGTCCGACATTTTGCTAGGGGAGGGTCTAATTACCTCGGCGAAAACATCAAGTCAATGATGGAATCTTGACCTTTAACTATCCGCGTAGGCACATGAACATGCTGAACCAGCGAGAAATCCCGAACAGCGATAAAAAGTTCTTTGGAAAAGAAATCTGCGGGCTGAGAGCAGATGTCGGTCAACCAATCAATGTGTCATGTTGAAAGGCAAGACAATGCCCATTGCAGGCGTACCACTGCATGTTGGCCAACAACTCCGGAACGTACACATCTGGTGTGCGGTAGATCACTGCAACTGTCATTGCTGACTCTCAACCTACCCGAGGTCATACCAAAATATCTTCAATCTCCGTCCGAAAACTACTCTACGTACCTCCTTTTTTACCTTCAGGGTGATATCCTTATGGAATGCCCTTCCAGAAGAGGTAGTCAGCGCCCGCAGCCAGGCGGTCTTCAAACTTCGTCTTGACCACCACTTAGGTTTATCTACTTACCCCCGATAAAAGAAAAAAACATTTTGAATTATATGAGAGTTCGCAAGTCTTCATTTCATTTCTCGCCTCGAGTGGGAAACTTTACTAATGCCTTTTCAGTACTCTCTGTTCTAGGAGAACTTCGAACCGAAAGAAAACACGGATACCTTTCAAGAACCCGGGACATTTGGGCAACAGCCTCGAACCCGTGAATCAATTCAAGACTTCACGACCTCTAGATAAGAGGCTTTCTAGAACCGCGGACATTTAACGTCAAAGTTGGAGCTCGCATATTGGAGGAGGAGCTGATCAGAAGCGTTGTGCCTCAAGGGTTGGTACTTTGCCCAATGCTGTTCCTGCTCTAGATAAACGTTCTAGCACGGTATTTCTAAATCTTTGTTTTCTGTTCGCAGACGCGTTAAAATAGCCGGAAAAAATCTAGCATGTGATATAGAGGTAGTCAAAAGATGGGCCAAATAGTGGGGCCTACCACTAAACGTCTCGAGATGTCAGCTACCGACGACCAGAGCTGACGAAGGGTTAAGAAGGAGACTGTCAATACAAAAAGTGCACGAAGCCAAGGATCTAGGCATATTGGTAACGCGGTACATCAAACAAAGCACCCAGTTTGTGTAGGCCAAAGACAAAATCAGGGGCAGCTATTTCGTGTAGGCCCGACCATGACGTACAAAACACTTGAGGTATTTGCCCCACTATAGAAATGTACTGTCCACCTCCATCTGGAATACTTTCTAAAGGCTTGTGCTTCGTTTTATAAAAAGGACATCGATATATTGGAGAAAGTTCACCGTCAGGCCTCACTGATGATAGCTTAGCAAAGAAAGAAGATCTACGAACGGCGGCTTTGAGATTTGAACCTGTTATCTTTCAAGCGGAGTCGAAAAGAAGGAGACCTGATTGAAACTTCAAGGGTATATCAGGCCTGAGATATGGCGGAATGTTCTCCTTGGATTTTTATAGGGCCACGAAGGAACATAACCCAGATCTTCAGCGGAACCTTTATAGGCTGAGACTGAGGCCAAACTTGTTTACTGACAGTGTTATTCCGTTGTAAAATCGACTGCGCTGGCAATGGTAAGATGCGGTACTGTAAAAGATTTAGAAAAGCACTGGATGAGTGTTTAATAGTGGTTTTTCGGAGATTATTGTTTAGTTACCGCCTGTAGACTAACCTCAAAGGATTTGATACGGCACCAAATTATTCCGCCTTTCAGAAAATGTGCATATCGAAGTGTTAGAAGCCGATGAAACTCGCCGACAACACAGAAATCTGGACGCTTGATTGGCAAGAGCCACAAATCGTTTTGTGAGAACTGAACTCAACTGAATTGAAGAAAATATTTTCCACTGCCTGAGAGATTTCACGACTTTCTATTTAAACAGGCTGTGTCCTCATGGGGCAAATGAAAAATTGAATCAGAGTGCGATGGCAAGTGTCCTACCTCTATTATTACCGGAAATGGGTTCACGATCAGCAGAGAGAGAAGGAAATTATTCTATAAGTGCTAGATTTGTTTTTTCTACCAAAAGGCATTCTGCGAAATGTATGCTACACATCGGTAAACTTTCTTTGAATTTCTGAATTCACTTCAGAGGTGGCTGCTTGGATCGTCCTCATATTTGCAATCAATACATGTAAAATGAATGGGGCATTGTTTGATCTTGTAGAAAATCGGAATCCACCTGCTGAGCAGAACGTTTCTTCCAGTTTGAGTACATGAAATGCCTTCTGCCTATGAAATAATCACGGATAAATCTAAAAACGTTCGTAATGGGTAACCAGATTGAGCAATACTGATTGATCCCGATAGCACAATGCACTTTTGTTTACTAAGAACACCTGTCTGACCATTTCACTAATTTACGATATTTTACGTACCTGTTTGGAAATTACGTTCCTACACTCTCTGTACTATTACTTTTGTCTCCACCGTTCATTTTTCACATTGTTGTACATTTTGATCATACGCACTAGCATGCTTCGCGAAATATACAGTTATTATTATTATTTCACTTAAATTTTCGAGTGAACAAGAAATTCAACATTTTTAGGTATTGAGCAATGTCCTTTTAGGCAGATTTAGTGATAATCCAAGGTACTTTCCATATTGTACAACCAATAACCTTGCAATAGGTTTTGTTGCCCATTTGGATAAAGTAGGGGAATGTAGAGTCGAAGAGGAAATGATGAATTTCGTTATACTAAATTTGCGAAAAATTTGAGAAGTTGCCATTTTTGTCACATTCACAGTCTCTCATAATTGAATACAATGATTCCGAGGTTCCCATTCAAGGAGCCTAACACGACCTATATGAGTGCCTCTAGGCAGGGTTATATACCCTTTTAGTGACGAAGATACTACATATAAGCATAATACTAACACGAAAGGTACATGGAATGAAATCAGAGGAAGGTTGTTCAAGGGCTCAGAGATTCTGTTCCTCGGAAGAGTTTAGGCGCGTTTCTATCGGAAGCCCAAGGTAATATGTCTGACTCGAACGAGCGTTCGTACAAAACATAAAGAGACTCTTCAACAAACGTATGATGGTTTTATTTTGAATGAACCTCAGATTCCAAAGAGAAGATACAGATCGTATGGTTATGCAGCCCCGGGACAATCTGTCAGCTCCATACCACATATGCTTCTGCTGTGGCCGGTCACTTTGCAGATGGAGATCCTTTCCATCCCCTCCATCTACCCAGACCATTGCTTCCATTTTTACTTCTACCCCAACTTCTAGATGCACGGTGCGCTTGTGTAGCCAGGACTTTTGCAATGTTCTTTTAACGGTTTGCGCCATCGGAACACTGCAAGGCGTGCGGTACCAAAGGCTTTGAAAGCTGTTTATGCAGCGCTGCCTGTCGCTTACGAAGGGGCAAAGTAAATTACATACAACTAGTAGCACCCCTCACTATCTCTAATTTTTGGCACAATCGATTACACAGTAACAGGCAACTATTCCGAGATTCTTTGCCTGATAACGAGCAATAAACCTACCACGAGAACCCGCGCTACTCTAAAACGTCGCTTCCCAAGCCTGTCAATCCCCTTGATGATATTTTTTCTTTCTTTTTCCTCTCAGCAGCGGGGGCAATTGAGACGAGCAGAAGCCTTGAATTTTCAGTACCTAAGACTTTCAGTGGTCTGGGTTATCACGTGGGCTTCCTACCGAAGGAAATCTGGACGTTCGATTGGCCATCTGTCCTGTGGTAACCGAACTG